ATACAGAAGGAAAGATATAAGGTGGTAATTGCATATGAATAGGGGTAGTTGTGAATAATAATATATTATTGCATTCATTACGTAAAACTGCAACTTTAAATTAGTCACAGGCATTTTTTGTGAATGATAAGTTATCAGTACTATTATTAATTAGTAGATGTGAGATTGTGAGATAACTCAAAACACCAAAAATAAATGCTTACTAATTTATTTCTAATGACTGCCACAATTTTCAACCAATTACCCAAAAACAAAACAATGTAAGCAACCATAATTGGAATAAAAAATTAGCATTTGCAAGATAATTGATTTTCCATTATTCAAATTAATTTAGCATAAAAATAGAATATTAAATTAACTAATGATAAAGAAAGAATATAAATTAACTTATTTTTTACTTCAAAGTTGAATTATTTACTACAAAATAACTTTTACGTGCATTTTCATTAAACTGAATAATATCATTATAAGAATAATGATAAAGAATATCAATTAACCTTGGTAACATTTAAAAAATTTAGCTCACACGATCTACTTCAAATGTTTAACACTAAAGTGCTGTGCTAATTATAGTGCTAAAAAACTTTAGTACTCAGTTACTGTTAATGTTGAAAACAAATTTATCTAAACTGATCACTTTCGTCTTTTTTTGATTATTTTTTTACGTGAAACTTCAAATCTTATTCATAATAAAATTCCCAAATACTTGCTTTATGCAAAGTAGCAATGTATAGAACAAACTTGAGAGAGAGTATTGAATACTGCTAATTGCTATTGATGATTCTTTACGTAAAAATTCACTTAATAGTACTCTGTAATAAGTAAACAACACATTTCAGTGTTAAAGCTGTATTTTTGAGTAGTGATAAAGAATCAATCGGTATGATAGTATTTTGGTGTTAATAACAATTATGGTACAAGTAAGAGGTAGCAGGAGAACCAATTATATGAATCTCGGAAAAGTGATCTTGATCATTTAGAAATAAATATAGCACAAATCAATAGTGAACTATTTTCTAAACATAAGTTAGCACTGAATAACAATTGCATTCAAGTTTATGCTTAAAAAAGTATAATGAAGTCAGAAAGACTACTTCTTATTCATGATAATAATGGATAATCGCAGAAATTTTATTTGAAGTAAAGTGAAATTTAACAGAAAAAAACACGACTTTCGTAGGGAAAGTAAGGATGTTCGTAGTGGAAGGTATAATACTGCAAGAATACACAAACAACAAGTTCAGATTTTATATAAACACTGAATGACGGACGAAACCCTAGCGGACAGAATACGCAAGCTTATCCAATAGCTAACTCCCATTTTCATATCAGTCAGTAATGTTTTTGAGACAATTATTAATCTTAGTTATTCTAAAGAAATTATAAAGTTGACATAATAGTGATAATAAAAAAGTAATATAATACTAAACTACTTGTAATATGTTGCATACAATTTAGTAATGTTTTATTTAAAACAGTGACAAATATAATAATTTCATGGTAGAACACAATATAGTACAGATAACCACTGAGGAAAATTAAATGAGTAGAAATTAAAAAGAAGAAAAATGATTTCATTAGCAATAACGATTATGATTCTCACTATTAACTGATATATTAAAAATTCATAAAAAGTAAAGATCCATTCTTTTTGGTTTTTTAAGCCAACAAAGATCCATTCCGAATATTCGGGCTAATTTTAGTAAACTATTAATAATAACAAAGTAAAGAATTTTACTCTATGATATGAACAGTTCGTCTTGATGGAATGGATCTACGTCTACTGATAAATAATAATCATGTCATAAAATAACTATATTCGATTTGTAATTGATACGAATTTGATTGTTATTATTTATTTCTAATTAAATAAAATTACTTAAGCTAATTTCATTTAAACAAAATATGAAAACTGAAAAAAGTGAAATAATTTAATATCAGGTAGCAAGATTTTCAGGAATCATTGGTAATTCAAAGTCAATTTTTTCTATTCAACAGCATCGCCTCCGGCATATTCCACAATTGCTTTTTTATAGTAGACTTGGGGTGATGTTTTCTGGAAATGGAAATGTAAGAAAAATAAATGTAAAAAAACAGTAAAGACAAAAAAGGTTAAGTAACGAAAATCGGATTATAATAATGGATAAATAATATGAAATTTCTATTAATAAGAAATCTGAAATAGTCTATGGAAAAATTTATTTGGTTCACCAGAAAGGAAACTTCCTTGCAACGAATCTATTTCATATGTCAATGACAGATAGAAATACATTTAAAAAAGTAAAATCCATATCGGAATATGCAAAAATAGATAGATACCTTTGATGGAAAAACAAATGATACAATTCGTGATTCCATAAAACATTGCCCAATTATGTCTATAATTAAAAATCAACTGATTTAATTGATGACGATTCCACATCAAATTAATTTTTCTTTCAAAAAAAAGTACCGGAAGAAAATTGAATAACGTGTGCAACTACAACAGCAATCACGAGTGAGCAAATACTGTAATACTGATAAGAAATACGGAAAAGCTGAATCAGCCAAGAATCACTGAAAAATGATAGAAAACTTTTAGAAAACAAATTTCACAAGCAATTATGATTAAATTGCCTAAAATAATTCTAAAGTAAATGTCAAAATTAGCCAACCTGTGCAAAGGTTCCACCATTCCATATTCTGATTTACTGATAAATGTCATATTAGAACTACTTTCTGCACATGTATTATCAACTGGTAAGGCAACAGGTTTCACATGAGATACCACAGCACCAACAGCAACAAAAATACAGAAGACAGTTGAAACTAGCTGAGCTGTAACCAATTTATTTTGAAATACTACAAAAACAAGTAACATATAACCAAAACTTATATTTTTTTCAATTTACTATCAAAGAAAACTGGCAGATTTATCCTTTTACTGTTGGAATTTTCAATCAAAACTAACCAGTAAATGCTGCTTTTCCTTTTATTCGTGGACAGAACATACCCAAAGAAAACGCGCTCAACACAGGCCCACCAGCAATTCCAAATATCATGAAAGAAATCTATAAAAAATCCACAGAATGAGTAAATTCTGTCAGAATTATGCTAGTATCTTTAGGAATTAGATATGCAATAAATTATTTCTGAAATAACGATAAGAAATCTCACCTGCAATATCATGACGTCCATTATGCTACACAAGTAAGCAAGTACCATCGACAGACAGCAAAACAATAATGCTTAAAATTATTTTATTAAATATTGAATACATCTTTTAGGTACAATGATAACAAATCCAATACCAAATTAAATAACATGAAAAACATACGTAAATACCGTGCTAGTAAGATGCAAATATTCGGTTTCATTGGTCCAAGTTTTTGTATTTTAATTCGAAACTGCTTAATCACATCCTCAATAAATACAGCAGTGAGAGCACTATATGAGGCCGAAAGTGTACTGTAACGAGTAGGCACCTTTTTATATTTGATAAGAATCCAATTTTTAAACTTCAATAATTTTTAACATATTTATACCTCAGACTTGCGCTATATACTGAAGCTGCAAACAATCCAACGAGCCCAGGTATTACTGATAATTCATCAATAACAAAGCGTGGTAAAAGCTGCAATTTATGTTAATTGCAGGAAGCATCATGACCACTTCCCTAAGCGACTAAGCACGAAACTGATGATTATATAACAAATTTGAACTAACAAGAGTTTTTTGAAATACTGCATATTATTCGGTGTAAAATAATAAACTTAAATGAAGCAAAGATTAATCTAGGTGGAGAAATGAGATCAACGATTTGGCATATAAATCAGTCGAAGTGAAAAAAGAATCTTACTTACCTGATCTTTAGACTGCAGCAAGGGATTGCAGCCAAAATATTTGCGATACATAACCAATCCAGCACCAATGTATGTCATGAGAATCAAGAAGTTGAAAGGAATGTTGAGTATAATAACCCTAGAAAATAATGAAATAACTTACTTGATTCTTTTTTCTATAAGCAATAATTTTCTCCCCTTCATCCTTGCTAAATCTCTAACTCATTATTAGCAATCGCAATTATACATGATAAATAATGCTATATTCAAGCATTGAGTAAGGCCTGCAATAATTTACAAAGATTAAAAAAGCTACCATTGAGCAGATCTAAGAGAACCCATTGCCATATAACGCTGTACAGTAAGTTGATTTGCTGCAAAAAGGCACAATATATTGCCTGTACCACCAATAACTAAAGACCAAACAGAGTGTCGAATACGTGGGTCAATTCGAAGACTAAAACACATAAGTTTAGAAGAATGCTGCTTTGAATTACACAAAACGTATTCTTTGTACAATTAAATTTGTACATATTTTATAATCTAATTATATACTATCTGAAAAAAACTAACAAAAATCAACGAAATTTTCAGTTTTTCTGCTAGTTAATTTATAAGATTACTTTTATGACGAAAACTCCTAAGCCTTTACGAAAAATACTATCACAAGTCTGCTAAAAAAATGCTCAAACCTTACTCAAACAACTGTAAGCGACCACCAGCAGCTGCAGTTTTCAGGACGTCATGAAGCCCTGATTGATGAAGACTGACAGAAAAAATTACTATCATGCTTGTTATTATCAATATCATTTGTAAAGCCGAAGTATAAATGCTTGCCTTTGCACCACCCTAAAAAGAAAGTAATATGAAATAAAATCTCACGATATAATAATACTAGCTAAATCCAAGTGGCTTATAAGTATCAAGTAAATTACAAAAAAATGACCACTGTTATTTAAATTTTAAAGAGTTACTTACCAATATCACGTAGAGTGCAGCTAAACATGCTGTAAGAATAATTGATACTGTAAGCGGAATAGAAATAATGGTCGAGAGTGCGAGTGCTGGTGCATACAAAGCCACGCTAATGTAAAGCAAAATCTGTAAATCAAAGTAATCAAGAAACATAATTCGATTCTTACACAGCAAGAAAATACACGAAATCACTACTTACAATCTTTAAATCAATCAAGTGTTCAAATATTTACTTAGAACTGATGTATACATCAGTGATACATGTTCTCTGATGTATACATCAGTTCTAAGTAAATATTTGAACTGATGTATACATCAGTTTTGCTCACAAAACCATTAATTTTTGAAAAACGATAAATCAAAGAACAATATAAACTGAACTTTAAAGATACAATCTATCACTTTGCTACAGAGAATAAATGATAATTTAACTAATCATCAAACAAAGTACTTAATTAAAGAGCTGCAAGTTATACTCTCAGCTACATTTCCTAGAAAAATCTTAAAAACAATTGGTTTTAACAAATGCATAAAGAAACTAAGAAAGCAAAAAATTCTTACTTGAATGCAGAAGGTAATTGAAGCTAGAAATCGACACGCAAAGTTGAATCGAATATCCAAATACTAAAAACGCCAAGATGCTAGAAAAAGAGACAACAAATTCTGAAATCATCATTTTTCACTACATATTCTTTATTAGAGAAAAAGATTAACCTCATATATACTCGTCAACTTTAAGCTATAAAGTTTTGGCAAGAAACAGAAGGCAACAATGGGAAATGCCACAAAATACATAGGACCATACCAGAACAACATTGTTCCCTGATAATAGATCTGAAATAAAAATGCACACTTTGAAAAAATAATAGTTTTGCTATGTAAGAGTAACTACTTTATAAAAAATTATAATTAGTAAAAATACTTTTGATAGAAATAACATACCTCTGCAGGAAATCCAAGCAGTGAAACCGCAGAAAGAAATCCCGAACATACCGATAAAGCTGTTGTTAATATAGACACACTGAAAGCTTGTCATAATCTTATCTACTTGACAACGTAAATATAAAATTTCATTTTTCAATTCCCAATTAAAACAAAAATTTACGAGGGAATATAAATCGTGCAATGAGTGCAGCAAATATGCACACAATAAATTGGGTAAAATCAAAAAAACTTGCTGAAATAAATAAATAAATAAAAATAATAAATAAATATAAATAAATAAATAAGTAAATAAATAAATATAAATAAAAAAATATAAATAAATGATTAAATCTTTTCTCATTTTCCCAAATTAATGCGCATACTAATCTATTACTATTTTCTTTCTATTCTTTTTTTGCTAATCAGTAGTAAAAATGAAAGCGATTAAAACTAACTCTGATCCGTGCAGCACTTCTGCAGCTGTTGTTGCTCGTTTTGTGCGACGAATTGCCGTTAATAAACCGAAGAAAGATATTGCAGCAATGAGAATGAATAAAACGATAATATCAACGATATATAACATTTTAAAACTGAAATTATAATTTATTATTTAAAAAAGAAAAAATTATTAATAAAAATATGAGAATAAAATAAATAATTTAAATTAATTTTTATTTATTTAAGAATTTTAGCAAATCAAATAATAATACAAATGCAATTTGAGGAATTTAAATGTTTCACTGAATATAAATGGCAAATGCTTTTTATTGCCACATTGAATGCAATGAAAGAAAATATCGCAGTGCAAATATTGTTTTTATACTCTTTGATGAAATAGAGCACAGCGTCAGACACGTAAAAATTGATGACTTTTAAAGGAATACAAGTACAAAGAATGAATGATTACGTTGTTAATTTCTTTGATTGATAAATATATCACGTCGCGATGATTACGTGAAGCAAAAAACAGGGTAGTACTGTTTGTACGTAATAGAAAAATGAAAAAACGCAATTTCAAAGTATCTTTCAGTGCTGATGTAAAGAAGAATTAATAAATGCAAAACTAAGAGTAGTGACCATAAAATGCGATTCTAGCGTTATTACGTTATGTATGCACTGACGTGAATTTAATATTATTAAATAAAAGTAAATAGAACGATTAAAATACAATTAAGCGATATAACTTAATGAACTATTTATTATATGCAAAAAAGATATCATTTGTAATAACATTTAGTAGAATAGTGATGAAGTAAAAGAGGTAAGGATGATATTTTATGAACAGCCATTAAGCTTAGAGAATAGATGAATATCAATCAGTGAGGGATATAGGGTCAAATGGCATCGATTGTTTGACCTCAACTGAGAGTGACAGAATAGCAGAGGGTTCATACAGTTTTAGTGTCAAAGTAATCAGCATAGTGAAAATGATTAGTGTAATGACTGTGTAAATTGTGGCACGTAGATAAACAGATTTGCCAAAATAAATTAAGCAGTTTTTGTTCATTTGTTTTTAGTTCTGCAATAGCTTTTCAACAACGTCTCTTCACTTAATTGGACAAAATTT